ACTGAAATTCTTTCAGGGGTTCTGCAAGGTCAAAACTTTTCATAATAATACTAAGATGTTTTCATTTCTAATATGGTAAATATCAATAAATATTACTCACACAAAAGCTCTTCATGTTCCTTAGTAATTTAAAGAGTAGAAAGGAGTCCTGAAGTCAAAAAGTTTGAGAACCACTGATACATAATTAAATACTAAAGTGTATGGCAGATTATGATATCCCAGAGGAGAGATTAATGTGGGCTGGAGTAGTCCTAGAGGGATTGGGAAACATTTGAAGAAGTGGAGAAGGATTCCAGTTGAAGACATCACAAGTGAAGATAATAGCAGTGGAAATGTATGTGATGTGTGAGAAGGGCAAAAAAACCCAACTGACTAAGGTGTTTCAATAGAGTGGTAGTGATAGAAACCAGATGGCAGGGAGTTAAGGAGAGAAGAGAAAGTGAGCAAACTGAAACAGTAAGTGTAAACTACCTGTTTAGAAAGTTTAGTGGTGAAAAAAAAAAATAGGAAGGTCAATAGGGGAGCAACAAGCTCGTTCTACATGTTTGAAGAGTTGGAGAAAGCCAGTGGGGACAGGCTAAAGGAAGAACACATATGTAGGAGCAAAGTTTATCTTAATTCTGGAGGGGCAGTGGATTGATTAGCTTTAGAGAAGAGAATCCAGAAACAGACACCCCCCCAATACTGGAGGGAATGAAGAAAGACGACAAGGTTAGGATGGCATTTCTTTTTGTTGTTGGTAGTGTCAAGATATTAGGAGACACCCTGTTTTCCAGAGCTAGGGCACAGTAAGCAATCTGTGCCTTGAGCTTGGCACAACAACAGTGGTTTGCACTCACATCTGGATGATCTCACCCTCTGGCAAAATCACGAAATTATTATATTGCTTTGACCAGCAGCACTAGGTATTTTCTGAACTTGGATAAGCACCGGACAAAAACTCAGACACGTTCTGGTCGTGAAGCTCTGCTACGAATAAAACTTGTCACGTTGTTGCTATTACCCCTCATTGTCAGGGCTACAGTTCACTGCTTAGCCACTAAGTATTGAGGTTTAGCCACAGTACAGGAGGGTCCCCACACTAGCGGCAGGGCTCAGGAACATGTGTCTAGATCCCCTTCTTGCTTCTAAGCCATTTTCTTCGCTTTGAAATTAGACTTCTGTTTGATTCCTAACTCTCCTGTCTCTAGCTTGCTATGTTCGACTTCAGCCATCCACAGCTAGAGGTTGGTTTGGTCCATTTGACAGTAGTGATAATGGAAGGATAGAATAGGAGCTTAGAGAATAATGAGGTCTAGAATAATACTAAATACTAATAATACTAAGCAAGAGATAAATATTTTTTTTCATTGTTATCAAATACCAGGTTAGAATTACATGGGATAAATCTACAAAGGGATGTAGGTCTGCTTTGTTTCTTGACTTGTATTCATGTTTGTTGAGCATCTGCCATATGCACAAGAAGCATTGTACTAGGTGCTGTAGAGGAGATACAAAGAATAAGATACATTCTCTGCCCTCACTGAGCTTAACCAAGTAGTTGTCTATAAGGGAATTAAGATGTGTACATAAACGACTATAGTACAAGCTATAGCAGAAAAGTGCAATAAAAAAGGGACAAAGCACTACGATAGTTCAAAAGAAGGAAAGATTGTTTTTGTCTAGAAGGATCAGAGAAGGTTTCATAGAGAAGATAATATTTAAGCTGGATATCTAAGCATTAGGTGGAAGTGTAGAGGGCAGGAGTATTCATGGTGTTCACCATGTGCACAAAGGCACAAAAGCAGGATTCAGTTTGGCTGGGGGAGAACTTACCTAGATAGGTAATAGTAGAAAGTAAAGTTAGAAAGGTGTGTTGGGGTTACATTTTGAATAAGGTTGTTTTAGTACCTATCAGGAATTACTGACAATTTTTGAGCAGTAATTCTAAAAATATGGTTGGAATAAAAAGTATGTAATAGGGGTGGTCCACGACTGGGATTTAGGGCACTGGACAAGAAATTAGACAAAAATAGACCTTCCAAAAGGCAGACTTTAGAATTTAGAATTTATGCTTACTAAAAACAATAACTTCATAGTATGGTTCTGGAAAAGAAGATGCTAAATATTAATTTTATGTTTTTGTGTATTGTATGTTTTGTATAATAACTTTCACATTTGGTCAGAATCATTGTGCCTTGAGCTTTTATGTACATTATAACAGGAAAATAGGCAAGAGTTTGTCAGAAACAGATAAGGCATTTAAGGTAAACTCAGACGTTTGAACAATTTAATTTTGATTGCAAATGAACATATTGGCAAGGAATAAATTGGTGCAGTCTCTTTTACACCCCAAATAGTTTCCCCACAACAGAACTTTCCTCTGCTTTTTTTTTTAAATTACTCTGAGGTATGAAATATCAGAAAACATTTCCCTTAACATAGATTTGGTTTAAATGATCTCCTGGCACTTGTTCTCAGAATTAACCACAGTCAGCTCAACACCTAAGGACTTCTTATTTCATTTATAGGTTATTTCATCATTCTTCCCTTCATGGCATTCTTCTTTCAGTGTCCTTTGCCAGAGTAGTGGAAAGAAATGAAGGTTGCTAATAACCACTTTTTAAAAAAACCACAACTAATTTCTTGAAAGAATACTGCTGGATCCGGAAAGAACTTAGTATTGTTCCCATTGATTTATCTGTTCTTCATTATAGGAATAACAACTCCATATTTACTCTATCATTCAGCCCTACCTCTAGATTTTATCGATTTCTTTTCCAAACTCTTTCCAGTCTAACCCTCTCATTTTGCAGATGGGAAAATTAAAGCCCAAAAAAAAAGGCATTTAAAAAAATTCAACACAGACGTCTGTTAAATAAACTATTTCCCTAAGGATTTCTTAAGTATTCACTTTACCAAGAGTTGGTTTGTATACAGCTTTTTAGAAGTAAATATTTCATTCTAGTTAGGCATGCTTATAGTGATGATTGTAAAAATGATTTTTTTATTAAATGAAAATGAATGAAAAAAGTAATTTTTATGGCACATCTTCTGACAAAGCTGGTATTTTAGGCCAGTAAAAAGACAGAACTGCAGGATAAGAGTGTTATATGTGAGGAGCAGCAAGAAATCAGTGCTGCTGGATTGTAAAAAATTTGGAGTTGTGCAGCTAGATGGTGCAGTGGATAGAGCACCAACCCTGAATTCAGGAAGACCTGAGTTCAAATCTGGCCTCAGACACTTGACACTTATTGTCTTTGTGACCCTGGGCAATTAACTTAACCCTGATTGTCTCACCAATAAAAAAAAAAAATTGAAGGTGAATAAAAAGTGCCAAAAGACTAGGAAGGTAGGAACTGGCCAGGTTCTGAAGGGCTTTAAAAGCCAAACAGAGGGTTTTATCTTTAATCCTGGAGGTAATAGGGAGCCACTGGAGTTTATTCAATAGGTGAGTAACATCTTCCAGCCTGTACTTCAGATAAATCACTTTGGTAACTGAGTAGAGAATGGATTGGATTGGGGATAGAGTTGAAGGATGCTAACCAGAAAGCTATTGCAGTAGTTCGGGCCTGAAATGATGTAGCTGCTGTATGAGTGGAGAAAGGGGTACCCAGGTGATAGCTGTTGTGAAAGTAGAAACTAAAAGAATTGGCAGCAGGTTGGGGGGGAGTGGGGTGGGAGGGGAGGTTTGAGGGAATGAGGAATTAAGGATGATGCCTAGTTTGAGGAACTGGTTGACTGGGAGGATGAATAGTAATATCCTCCACAGTAATAGGGAAGTTGGGAAGAGGGAAGGGTTTCAAGGGAAAGATAACAAATTCTGTTTTGGATGTGTTAAGTTTAAGAGGTTTAGGAGACATCCAATTCAAGATGTCCAGTAGGCATCTGGTCATCATCCGAAGTATTTTCTTCAGTTCTAGGTGCCACAGTTTAGAAAGGACTCTGATGAGCCAAATAGTTCCCAGAGGAGGGGCAACTAGGATGGTGACTGATCTTAAGTCATACGAGGATTGGTTGAAGGACCTGGGGATATTTTGCCTGGAGAAGCAAAGGAAGGAAGGAACCATACATTTATTAAGTGTCTAGAGTGTGCCAAGTACTGTGCTAAGCACTAGGGATACAAATACCTTAAAAAAATAAAAAAGTCCTTGCCCTCAAGATTACATTCTAAATTGGGTGTGAGGTGGGGCAGTGGGGAGGAGGAAAAGCTAAAAAGGAGGAGGAAGTTTTGGTAGGGAAGTGGTATTCCTAGATTCCATGGGGGGGGGGGGGGGGGGAATGAGAATGATGGCCAGACTACAGGCAACATGGTTTATAAATAGTGGCCTCGAAATTAGATAGAAGCATGGTTTTTGGCAAGAGCAGGGAAAACTTATCAGAACCCAGAGTCTTTCCAGAGTCAGAGTCCAGCGGGGCTAAGGGTATGAGAAAATGGGGGTGGTGGTCAGGATACAGACAGCAAAAGTTGCTTAAAAGCTATTTTCTTTTACTTTTTTAGTAGGTTAGAAAAAGATTCCTATATCTTATCCCAATTCAGTCTTTATGTGGCTAGCAAATTAGGAGATATAAGTACAATATTTTATAATGTAATATGACATATAATATATGGTTTTGGGAATGGAAGCACTAGGGAGGTAGCTGTTTTTAGAAGTTGTTTCGGAGATGTAGTTATACTGAGAATGTTTTGGTAGTATCTTTCTTTGGGGAAGTGTCTGTTGGTGCCCTGTGTCAGGTTCTCTCCATTAGCTTCAGCCAAAGAGGAAAGTTGAGAACTTTACCCACACAACCTATTAATAATGAGAACATACCTGATAAATGTGTGAAGAGCAAAGGTGTGAAATTCTCTTCCTTGTGAACATCATAAAAAAATTCCCAAAAGCTGATTTGTCCCTTCTCTTAATTCATCAAGTATTTACAATCATCACACATTTTCAAAGTTTATGTATTTCCTTACTTTAGTTTTTTGGCGTTTTTTTTTTTCCCATGCCTGTATTTACAGATTATTTATATGCCTTATCTACCTAGGCGAGTTAGTAACTCCTGGAAGATATAAACTCTGCCTGTTCTCCCTAGCTACACAAAAAGTGGTTTGTTCATTTAAGGGTGTCTAATTGCATCAGTTTGGAAGTAGAGAATTAGATGGTTTGAGAGTTGGAATTTTTTTGGCAGAACTGACTTGAAATTCCTAAAAGGAAGAATCAAAGCTTATTAAATTAATTTAAAACTACAGGCAGTATTAACTTGTATGGATGTACTATATTTACTAGGAGAAAAAAAGATTTATTTTGAAAGAGGAAAAAATATGCCAGATTTTGTCAGTCATTTTAACCTTCAAAAACTGCTACACTTATTTTTATTAATCATAAAGTGCTGGAAATTTTAGTCGTATTTTATAAAATAGCTGTGATAATAAGACTGAAGAAAAGATTGTGAATTTATTTTTGTTTTTTCAAATTGTGAATTTAACAAACATTACAAATATGAACCTTCCCATATAGAAAGAACAGAAAAAGAAGGTTGTATATAAATAATCTTTGTTGCATACATATATCTGTATATTGTGTGTATGCGTGTGTGTATACATATATGTCCATATTCATATGCCTATATACTTATGTATTCATGTAAAATGTAACATGATGTTACCAACGTTGCCGTTATTTTTCTGGGTCTTCTTCTGAACTTATATATACACACATATATGTGATATGCACACACACATATATACACACATATACATAATATCTTACAAATGTTAGTTGTTTTAATGCTTTTTTAAAAATTGCTATCATACGCACTGACTAGACATGAATTTAAAACCACTGCTTATACAAGTGAAAATAATAAAGCAGTTGCCAGATATTTAAAGTTTATGTGTTTGGTTTATTTTAGGAAGATGTAGAGACTGGAGTACACCTTGATCCTGCCATTAAGGAAGTCCAATACAATCCTTCTTATGAGACCATGTTTGCTCCTGAGGTAAGAATAAAGTATATTTGAAGGTGATGGTTTCATATTCTGTGTTTGAAAAAGTCTAAAAGACTTCTACTTTCTTTACATTAAAGTGATTTATTTGAAAATGCTTGAAAGTTTGCCAGTGATAGCCTGATGAAATTTTTTCCCCCAGTATATACCTACATTTAAATGGATGGGTTGTGATCTTCATTGTTGAAAGGAATGCTCACATTCATGAGATCATAGATCCATAGACTTGTTGAAGAAGCATATTTAAGTACTTGATAACAGGGGAACTTCGATCAAGGAAAAAGAAACAGAGTAAGGAGGACATTTTCTTTCTATAAGAGAAGAAAATATCTTTGCCTTCAAGGAAATTCCCATTGTATTTATTGTAAAATTAAGTATCTAAAGTAGGTGCTTTAATGATCATTTTCTTTTCACCTGACCAGTTGTCCTGATTTATATCTTGCTACTGGACACAGATGGCTCTGGAGAAGAAAATAAGGCTGGTGACTTTGCACAGCCTTCCCTCACTTAAATCCAATTTACTTGCAAGTCATGGCGTCACCTCCTTGATTCTCTTCAAGAATGAAGGACAAACAACAGTCTTTTCACACATTTCTTCCCTGCCCCATCACCTCTTATCTGCATTTTTCTGGGAACCCTGCATTGACAGCTCCAAAAAGGTAGCATTTGCGTTATCTTCCTTTCTTAATGTTCTGCCTGGCAAGTTACACTTCCCTTGCAACACCAGTGCAGTGTATAGGATATTTTCAGGTGCTGTGGCTGTACACAGTCTACTAGAATTCCCCAAATCAGGACTGATTTATGAGGGTCAAAATTCATTCACAGAATCATAGATTTAGAGCTCTCATTTACCTTTAGAGGTCATCTAGTCCAACCCTTTCACTTTTCAAATAAAGAAACTGAGTCCAATATAGATGAAATGGCTTACCTAAGGTCATACCAGTGGTAAGTAGCAGATACAGGTGTCAAATCCCAATTCTCTTGACTCTAGACCTAGTATTTTTTACATTGCACCACACTACAGTTGCTTTAGCCTTTAGGCAAATCTCTGTCACCCCTCAAGATAAAGCAGTGCCATATGTATTTGCCCTCCTGCTTGCTTTAATGATCATAAACCAATATTGACTAAATTGCTATCTATGGGCTACTAGGCTGACTAAGTTCATCACCATGAGATCTGGGACTAATTGTGCAAATCAAGCAAATGAAAACAAAGAACCTCTAATAGTAACCATGGTTTATATTAGCACTACATGGGAATGCTACTGCTAAGCTAGAGGCTTAAGCAAAGGAGGAAGGAAAAAAATTTAAAAGGAATAGTATCACAAACTTATCTAGTGGAAAGAGACCTACATTTAGAATCAAAGGGATTTGGTTTGATTTCTGGGTCTGTTATTCCTTTTGTGAACTTTCTCTCTCTAATCCTCAACATCCTCATGAGTAAAATGATGAGGGGGTTAGACTAAATGATCTCTTTTAGATAAAAATTCCTTGATTTCAATGAGCATAAAACAATCTGGGTATTTAAACATCCCTGTCTAGTCTTTTAGTATTTATCTAGCTTTACTTTTGGAATTATCTGAATTATTAATGGTGGGTGAATCTTAAGGGTCCCCAAGTTATACTTTGTATTAAATCAATGATTTTTAGACATGGGCTTTGTTTTTATGTTATCCTCTCAATAATTATGAAGAAAGAATTTATAGTTCTGATATCCACCTATGATCTTAAATTGGATTTTTTATTAAATATTTAGGTGTGCATACCATTATGGTAGGCACAATACAGAATAAACTAAACTGACCTGGTTACTATCCTGAAGGAGACAAAAAAAAATGATGTAACATGAGTAAGCATAAAAAAATGCATTGAAGCAGAAGAAATAATCCATTTAGAAGAGTTTTTGTAAAAAAAAAAAAACAAAAAAAACAAACCCGGGACATTAGAAATTGAAAGCTGGAAGAGATCTTCCAAATATCTAGTCCCACCCCATTTTTTACAGATATAAAAATTGAGTTTTAATTAAAAGCTCAAAATATCTTTAATATGAGGAAAGGAGAATGTTTGGACTTAAACAAGGAAGGCATTGTATCTAGGGAGAATACTGTGACAGAAAATAGGAATAATTCATTAGATTCTTTTTCCCTCTCCCCCTTCATATTCCTGCTGCTATCCTCATTCAGGTCCTTATCATCTCTGGACTTATACTTGGACAATTGTAATAGTCTCTCACTGGTTTACCTGCCAACAAGACTTTTCCTACATGTCATCCTTCATATCTCTGCCAGAAGAATCTTCCTGTTGTAGGAATCTGATTGCATCTGTCCTCTCCTCAATGAATTCTCCATTGCATATGGAGAGTACAATCCAGACTCCTTAGCCTGACATTAAGAGGTCCACAACCAGACTCCAACATACCTTTCCTTAGTTTACACTATTTTCCTTCATACATTCCAGAGCTCAGGGGTCAGCAAGCTATGGCCTTCAGTTTGGCCCTCTCAAAACAAATTCTTAGCTGAGCACTGTGACAGCCTTTTTTGCTGATCTCTGCCTATCCAAACCAAATCATTTGTTATTTCCTATCTCATTCTGCTGTTTCCTGCTTCTTGGACTTAACACATGTTGTCCCCCGTGCCTAGAATGTTTCCACTTAAACCATTAACTCTTCCATGAATTTTTTTCCTGATTTTCCCGCATCACAAGCATCTGTAAATAATCTCTCTGTTTTAAGATCTCTCCTACCACTCTATTTATATCTTCTCCATGCATTTGTTACAGTTTATATTATGATTTTGTGTACATCCTATCTTTCTCCCTCCCAAATATATTCATAAATTCCTAGATAACAGACTATATGTGTCTTTATTTCATTTTATCTGTTGTGCCTAACCCAATATATTGCTTGTGTTTTTCTTAATTGAACTGGAGGCACAAAGTAGGTTTGTTTAAGTAGAGCAAAGTACCTTGAAGCCACAAGTGAGGAATGTTATTATATCATTTTGGTGATAGAACAATTAAATTTCATTTTCCATCTTTCATTATTAAATAGACATAGAACTACTTCACTTATTTTCCTGGGCACTAGAAAGATTAAATATAGTTAAAATTTGTGATATAAGAAAGAACAGAAATAGTGTTTTCAGCAATGTTGTTATGTGATTGCACAAAGAACTCTTTTTCATACTGTGGGAAGGCACCATGTTATTATTCTGTCGTTTCTCAAATCCCTCCAGCTTGCCAAACCGCAGGTTCCTTTATATGCCCTGGAGCAGTTTAGTAGACATATTGGGGAAAGATTTCCATGTGATTTACATTGTCGTTTTCAAACTAAAGTACACCTCTAAAATTCATTAAGGAATTGATAAAATGAAAAAGATGATTTTATTTACATTTCATTTAAAGTACATTACTTCATTTCTCGGAGGCAGGATGGCAGAGTAAGCAGCAAATTGCCATGACTCTCCCTTATTCACCTCCAAACAAACATAAAATGGCTTCCCAAAACAACTCCTGGAACAGCAGAGCCAGCAAAAGGACAGGATGAAACGATCTTTGAGCCCAAGAAACTTGGAAGATTGGCAGGAAAGATCTGTCTCAGGTAAAAGGGGAGTGAAATCCAGGACAGGAAGCATCCTAGCAAGCCAGCAACAAGCCCCACCTCAGCAAACCAGCAGTAGATCCTGAGCCTCAGTGTGATGTAGCAGGCAAATGCCAGCACCAGGACCCCCTACATGCCTCAGCATAACCAGAGGAACAGGCAGACTCCAGCTCTGAGAACCTCCACACTGCATGCTTCAGTATATTCCTGGAAATGCAGAACCACCTCACTGGCCTTAGCACACACTGGACACAAGCACTAGGACCCTGGCTCAGCACCAGGTAAGCTGCCAGACCCCTATAACCTCCAGTAGCGCCAGCCAACTCCTTCCCCACCCACTCAGCACAGCACCAGATACGAGTGAGCCCTGTGGACCTCAGGGCAACATCAGTTTCACACCAGGTAAACAGCCAGGGCATGCAGCCCCTGGCACAAGAAGCCTGAGACAGTGCCCCTTCCATCTTGGGAGCAGAGCTCAAGTTTAAAAGAAAGGAAAAAGGCCAAAAAAGATGAGCAAAAAAACAACAAAAAAGAATCTGACCATAAAAAGTCATTGTGGTGACAGGGAAGAGGAAGACAAACTCAGAAGAGAGCAACAATGTCAAAACACCTGTGGGCAATGCCCCAAAGAAAAATGGGAAGTGGTCTGAACCCCAGAAAGAACTAATGGAAGAGTTCAAAAAGGAGCTTTAAAATTATATGAGAGAGGTAGAAGAAAAATTGGGAAAAGAAATGAGAGTGATACAAGAGAATTATGAAAAAAAGAGTCAACAGCTTGGAAAAAGACAAAAATTGCTTAAAAAGTAGAATTGGCCAAATGGAAAAGGAAATATAGAAATCCACTGAAGAAAACAACTCCTTTAAAAGTACATGTGGACAAAAGAATGAAAAAAGTAGGGGCAGCTAGGTGGAGAAGTGGATAAGCTCCAACCTTGGAGTCAAGAGGACCTGAGTTCAAATCCAGCCTCAGACACAACGCTTACTAGTTGCATGACCCTGGGCAAGTCACTTAACTCCGATTGCTTCACCAAAAGACAAGGAAAAAAAAAGAATAAAAAAAGTAGAAAAAAATATAAAATATCTCATGGGAAAAACAAATGACCTGGAAAATAGATCCAGGAGAGACAATATCAGAATCATTGGACTACTTGAAAACCAGGGGATTCCTTATAGATGATGAGGCTCAGTGGGTTTTCTCATATGTGGACGACATTGTGCTTGTTGTTGTTTGTCCTTCATTCTCAAAGAGGACCATGGCATCAGAAAGGTGATGCCATGACTTGCAAATGAATTGGATTTAAGTGAGGGGGGGTTCTGCAAAGTCACCAGCCTCACTTTCTCCTCCAGAGCCGTCTAGCAAGACATAAATCAGGACAACTGGAGATGCAGTAGACTT